GGAGCACCGGAGGTGCCCCAAAATGCCAGTGGCATCGGAGTGGCACCGTACTCCGGTGTCACTAGAACCTCATTGTTTTAAATACTATATATTGGCATTATTGACATCACATATCTTATTCTTGAGATAAAACATAAAAGTCTTATTTTGATTATTTTCCAAAGGTGGGATTTTCATGACTTTAATGGTTCCTCATGACATTGGAAATCATTGTCATCCCATGGGATGACCCGAGATCCATACGGTACTCTGTTCAAAAAAATTGATAGTTTCTATTCCCTCTAAACTCTTAGTAAACCCTCTCACCCGACCCGATCCGAACACACCCCCGTCAATTGTCCCCCACAAGATTTAATTGACTTTGGAGTCAAAATTTGACTTGAATGTCAACCAAATTTTGTGGGGTACAATTGACGGGGTGCGGGGGTGGGTTCAAGCCAGGCCAAGTGGGGGAGTTCACTGGGAGGTTTGGGGGTAGATACCATCAACTTTTTGAAGGAGAAAAGTAAGCACTCTAATCAGGGCTAATGTATGGAGGGCTCATGCCAACCAAACTGTCCCTTGAGGATATCAAAGCCAATAGGGCACCTACAATGTCTGGTTCATAAAATTAGTGATTTTTACCCACCCACCCCTCCACTCTCTTCAGTTGCACTTTCCAAATTTAGTTGATTTTGAGGTCAAAAAATTTGATTTAAAATTCAATTAAATTTGTGGGGTGTATTTGAATAGGTGTAGATGGACTCCGATTCAAGCCGAAGTGGGAGAGTTTATCAAGGGGTTAGGGGGTAAGAACTATTATTCAATCGCCTCCAATATCATCGCATGACATTGATAATCTACGTCATGATATAGATTAAACCAATGTCTCAAAATAAAGTTTCTTGCAGTCGAGCAACTAACGAGAGGTCAAATATTCAAATCTCAATGAGTATTGACTATTCGTGTTTCAATACTTTGTGAAAATATGTTCTTACAAACAGATACTACATTGTAATAGATTTATAGAATTCAAAAAAAAAGTTTAAACTTGTGTGTAGCATTCCTGTAAAGGAAATGAATAAGCAGTTCACTAACAATTGTTTCTCTTATAAACAAATTTCAATTAGTTCTGTTTATCATGATCATAAAACTATATAAGAAATCCCAGAAAAGGTGCCAAATTAATAGGGAATCTACTCTCAGGTATTACTAAAAACTAAAATTGAGCTTGCATATATACACGAAGAATCAAATCATTTTCCCCAAATTTTCATTATTTCAAAAGTTCCACTATATTGTCCTCCCTATTTTCTTCCCCTGGCATTTTCTGCATTCCAAACATATCCTAATACTTTGTTTGCAAAAAATCTTGCCTGAGAGAGCACTACATCATTGATTTCCTCACGTATGGGAAATATTGTCGCAATGCAACTGAGCAGATGTCGTGTTAGGCTCATCCTGAAATGAAAGTGAAACAGTATATACAAATGAGCTGTAAACTATGATGAAATAAATGACAGCACCCTTGATTCCAAGAAGAGCTTTTATAATCAAAGAATATTTGCTAGAAAAATTGGGGTTATTCATAGCAATATCGTTACTTGGGATTATCAATGGAAGAAGACTGGCAAAATTGGGAATAGCTTCTGCAAATTTTCCTACAATTTGATAGTGAACTGACCTGCAAGCTGTATCCAAACCTTGGCCTGTAATCCAGATGCCCCTGTATTGTATGATGATCTTAATGTCAATGTTCCAAATTTTGAGCGGGTAGAACTTTTGATATTGAAAGAGTAATACCAGCATAGGCATGCATTGTTGAGACCCAAAAAACCCATCATGACCTGGTGCAATTGAGGTAAGTTGCCCCTGCAACCATTAAAATGGTTACACGGTTCTTTAAGCAATGGTGTTTAAGTTCAGCTATGCAGGAAGGATTATGGAATATACAAATACGGGAAACAGCAATAAATAATCGGCACTTAGTACCAGTCCCTGGATATTCTGTGGGCTGACATAATAAGCATCATTAGGTCGCTCCATCAAATTTAGCTGTATCTGGAATTCAATGACAGTAGGAATAATCACATTCTTTGTATCATACAACAGCCTGCTAACTAAGGGTGTTCATCACTATGTCTGGGTTGGTTCGGCACTTCGGCTATAAAAATGCTATCAAGTTGATTCTGGTTTGGTTATTTTTGGTAGGTTTGTGTCAGTTTTGGTTGGTTTTGCATGTTTTCCTTGGTTTCTGTTGGCTTAAGTTGGTTAAAATGCATAAACCCCAAACAGTAAACTGAACCTTCTACGGGTAAATCAGCACTCATCAGCACAAGTCAAAATTGCTTTTGAGCAGTTTGGTTTTCACCGCTTCTGTTTCAGCCAGTTTCTTTTGTTCAGCCCTACTGCTAAGTGCTAACATATGCTTCAATCACAAAAATTAAAAGTAAACATAAGGGGCTATTGTGTTATCGGAATATGCAGCAACCTACCAGTCCTTGCACGTTCTGTTGTGCTCCATAATATCCACTCAGGGTCATATCATCTGAGGTAAGGTTATCCTACAACCATGAAAGTTTACATAAATACTGCAGAAAAAAGTGCACACACTCACACACAATGAATAGAGATGACCACCCCCTCACCCCAAAATCCCAATAGATAATTTAGCAACCCATACGGCGTTGTGATTAAGTATTTAAGTCCATTTTCTTATAAACTAATTGGACACTTAATTTCATTTTAGTGACATGTCTAATTGGGAGTAAGGTGATGCTGCTGCTGATGATGATAGGATAAAAAGCGGTGAAACAGAATGCTTGATGTCTTATCAGAACAAAATAGATTTGTGTCACGGTAAGGAAGTATCACATATCAATTGTGTTTGTTGCATAACAAAACATGGAAAACGGTTTTTTTTATAAAAAACATGGAAATGGCTGAATTCAGAGGGGACAAACCACCTGGTGCATACCGTCATGAGTGTCCACAATTGCAAGTTCGGGCTCAGATTGTACCTGGGGGCATGCGCATTGGCATTAGAATAATATAGCAAAACTATGTTGACAAACAGAGAGCTGATTCTGAGGCAAACCTTTCTTTTCTTTGTCACGCTCTTCTTCTTAGTTGTTCTGGTGCCATGAGATCCTTGGTTCTCTTCGTCTACATCACGAATGACAGCAATATTACTGCTACATCCTATACCAGTTCTGTTATTAACATTTACACAGTTCTTTAGAGCTTCGTCCAGTACCCGGAATGCTATATTGTAACTCTCTTCGGACAAAGAACCTACTTCACCCAATTCAATGGCCCGTTCACACAGACTGTTGTACATTTGCACCCTTGTTTGAGCCCTTTCACTTCCTTCAACTGTCAAGTGTCTATTTTTGGCATCTTTAGTCCACCTCTTCAATATATATTGCAATGGTATGCTTGATAGACCACACATTTGAAGAACAACCATTGCATGTCTGCAAAGGAACCCTTTGTATTCAAATAGGAGGCAAGAACAGGAAACCTCTGATTTTGCCTCATTCCATGTCACACTAAAACTGTCATCCTTTTCACAGTCATCAACTCTGAACATTATGTTTTCTCCATTTACACCTTCTCTCTTCGGGTGGCATCCAACAACCCCCAGAACCTCAACCTGAAATTTCTTGAATATTGCGTGTGTATAAATTGTTGACATTTGCTTCTCCCATGGTGAAGGAGATTTCAATGCAGGTTGTTTGTGCAATGTATCAAAATCTGCTATGGCTTCCTCTTCATAGCTATTCTGCAGAATGATTCCATATTGTTTCAAAAGCTCATTAAGAGTAATCTTCTTGTGGATGTATTTGTCAAAGAAAGAGACAGGACTTTCAGATCGTTGACTCGTAGACATTCCAGCCAAAAAGGCACCTCTCGTGAAAATTGGGACCCAATTGGTACGGTCTTCATACAACAAACGGATCCATTCATTTTCTTGTAACTCAAATCTGGTCACCATCTTCCACCATCTCATATCAAACTGTTCATCTGTCAATGACTTAAATATGCACTTGGTGAATTTTCCTAGAAAATCATCACGCCGCTTTATAACATGAGAGAGAATTTCAGGAAGCCTTTCAATTACATGCCAGAGAGCAAAGTAATGACCTGAAGAAGGGAAAACTTCTTCCGCAGCTGATTTGAGAGCTTTGTCTCGGTCAGTTATTATTACTTTAGGAGGCTGTCCACCCATTGCTCTGAGCCATGTCTTCATTAACCAAACAAATGTTTGTTTGCTCTCATCCACTACCAATGCACATCCAAGTAACATAGGCTGGAAGTGATGATTCACTCCAACAAAAAGGACAAGTGGAGTCTTTTCATTGCTCTTGATATAACTGGTATCAAGAAAAACAGCATCACTAAAATTAACAAAATCTACCCTGCTCTTGGCATCAACCCAGAATAGGTTCCTTAGACGCTGATCCTCATTAAGATCAACGGCATAAAAGAAAGTCGGGTTCTCTTTCTGTATATGCATGAAATACTCAAGAATAAGCTGTGCACCTCCCTCTGCTAACCCTAGGCGATGCCCTCTATTAAACTGGCTATTCAGGCTATTCCCCATAAAGTCTAGAGTTAGGTTCCCACCCGTTTGTCTTGACATTTCAACATACATCTTTCTCGTTCGTTGACTTACAGCATGAAGAATATCACTATTATTTTTTTCAGCTAGTTTTACGTTCCTATGAATTCTAAAATGATACGCTAGGGCTGGAAGGAGCTCATGATTATGCTCCTTTACGAATTCATGAATGTACCAATTCCCATCTCTCTTTCTTTTGACATGCATGCTTGCTTTGCAATCTGTCTTTTTCACCGTGGGGCGTCTACTACTGCTGCTGCAACCTTCGGCCTCTGGTGTCACTCCATATCTAGAACAAGCAAATTTAGCATCGATAAACTCTTTTGACTTCTTTGACCGGCGGCTGTTTTTTATTGAGGTTGTGAATCCCATTGATTTCGCATACTCTTGATAAAAAGAATACGCAACTTCATGGGATTCAAACTCAATACCGTCATGCAGCTCAAAATCTGTCATTTTTTCTTCAGATGCAATGACGACCCTTTTACGGGACTGACAAATCCCGCCATCTCTATCCACGGGCAGCACTTCTACATCATCATCTGTATGTGTAACCATTTGAAGACTCTTTTGTATGCTATCTCCGGGACCAGTCATTTTTTATTCCGGTGATCATGCCCCTATATGAACTCCACAAAGTTTTACCTGATGTAATTCGTCCAATGCTAGCAATTGCAGATGCCCAATATATACATATCTTTAAAAACTCGAATCTGCTACGAAAGCCTAAGAAAAAATTGCATCCTGATCAAATTTCAATGTGTCCGAATTGTAACACCAATACAAAGTGAAGATGAATGCTCAAAAACTTTAGCCCCATTTTATGAATACTAAATCCATTCAAATCTATTAAAACAACAGAGAACCAAGTTTCCGAGTGCGTCTTTGTGATAATCTTAGCAACTCAAATTACAGAGATTAAAGAAATAAAGATTTACCTAAGCCAGTTCAGGCGTTCAGTTCGCCTATTTCATGCGATTCGAGGGTGATGATGATCCGAGTTCCGGAGCGATTTGAGAATGAGGGTTTTGGCATGAAATATCAAATGGTTAAAATGCTAACTACTTCTACGAAATACCCCGAGTACTCTGTATAATTTAGGGCCAAAATGTGGGAGCTCCTAGTTTCAGAAGAATGTCAAGTGTAACCGTGAACTGTTCATCGGCGGCTGCAGCCTACAGAAGACGGCGGAGATCAAAAGGCTTGGCCGATGAGAAACTGAGAAAAAGGGAAGACTGGGTTCCAAAAATACTCCCTTATCACATGAAGAATTTATGGAAAAGGGCAGAAAAAGGTTGGAATTTATGAGAATGCCCTCCTATATCTAACAGAGATTCGCGTGAGGCGCGTCCGCTCTACTTGCGTAAAATGAGAGGAAATGACAGAAAGGCCCTTCCAACGAAGAAACAAAACGTCACTGTTTATTACCGTTACTTCAAAAATTAAACGGAAATATTAAAATTAACGACCAGCCGTTAGGTTGCCTTCGAAGCGTCACGATGACTTTTAGAAAGGCCAAACGGCGTCGTTTGAAGCGCCAACCCCTCCTTAATCCCCCGACCAGTCTTCGGAAACGATACGCCTTCATCAATCGAAACTCTTCTGCTCTTCGTTCTACATTGCTTACCGTCGTCGGATACCTTCAAGAACTACCACACATCTCTTTGCCATGGAGAATACCGGAGCAAGTAGCGGGTTCCAGTACAAGAGAAGAAGAATTCTAACCCAAACACAAAGGGAGGAGATGGAGAATGAAAACCAGGTATTTTCAAATAATTCTTACTTAAAATTAACTAATTTTTGTTTTATTTTGAAATATTTGGGATTGGTGTCAGATTTCTGCTGAGGTAACTCCATCTGTGGAGGGTCAATCGTTCCTGGATGCTTCGGAAATTGAGGTGCATTGCATGTACACTAAAATATAACATTTAAAGTATTTTGTTTGTTTTTTGAAACATTCGGAAACAGAACAAGTTATTCGACCATGGAAATAATCAATATAATGTTACAGTAATTGGTTAACAGTCGAATGCAGTCGAATCTATTTTTTGATTAGTTCTTGATTTTAATTCTAGGTTCCAGCGTTGG